CTGTAAGAAATATGTTAGAAATTCTAACATATTTAGAGAAAATTAGCTGAAAGGAAGAGGTTCTCCAATAAAGGAGATAAAGTGGTTTGTGGTTGGAGCATCAAGAGGCTCTATCTAAAGGAGAACCAGACACACCGGGACTAAAGAGAAGATAACCCTTTATTAGTAGACAAAAGTCCTCTTTTCAGATGAAAGTAAAGACTTTTGTCTTAAGAGTTTGAAGGAAAAGTAAAAAGGAACGTAATCCAGGTAGCTTCAACCCTGTTTTACAGACCCTGGTTGCCCGTTTAATTAAATTTTATCACCCATCTGATGGACCTCTGCGGCTTGATCGCTTTGCTTATGTGGACTAGATGGATCATTAACTTTAAGGTGCAGTAGATATTTTCTGACGCATTTTTTAGCATGTGGCTTAAAGATCTCCGCACAGGCGCTTAGCAAGCAGTGAAATAGAAGGTCTGGAAGTGAAACTAAAATAAATGGTTCCTGCTACAGTGAAAAATCAATGAATAACCCCCACCAATCACAAAAGACGATCCGTAGTCCACTATTGGTTCCTGACAAGTCAATCAGGATCGTCTGCTTCTCCTTACCCCCCTGGGAGCGTACCATGACACATGAAAGATTCAACCCCCCAATGCCAAGTTCACACCTAAAGCAGCAACAGCAGCAGAAACGTGCCTGCTGCTTCATTTTTGATGCTTCTACAAGTTTAGGTCTGATGTGCGGCGAGGTTGACCAGATTTGGGTTTTTGAAAAGGAGGACCCCTTTTTTGGGTTGGGTGGGGTGGATAGTAGTGTCGACTGCTGGGCCGCTTACTGGACCGGACCTCAGCAAAGACAGATGTGATTCGCCCTTCCTGAGCCGGAGGAGGGGGGCTGGGGACCTGTAAGGCAAGCGGGGGGAAGCATGGGGACGCAGGTGTCCAGGCTACCGTCACCGGGTTCAGTCCCTCCGTCCCCGGCTGGCTGTGCTGCACTGTAGTCGACCAAAATCCCGGTTACTGCTCTGGCTGTGCGGTGGAAAAAATGGGTCTTCTGTACATTGGGCGGAGCTACCCGATCCTTTCTTTGCCTGTAACAATGGCAGCTATATTTGCTGTGATCAGTGGGAAAAAAGTAGTTTGAATCTAGTTTGAAGTGATCAAGTCCACCTGAAAACATGTTCAGTGCAGTCAGTTCATTCAGATTACCATCCTGCCTTCAAATATTATTTCTGTCAGAGCCGCTCAGACCCTCGTACACTGGCAGTGCTCTGTCACTAGGAATCCCATTCAACAGCAGCCTATGGCCCAGTCGCCTCCTTGCGGTTTGCTGTGGCGGCTGAAAGGCATTTTTTCATGTACGTAATCGAAACTGCAGGCGTCAGGATAATAAAAGCAAAAATGTTTTGCTGGCAGAGTTCAGTATTTTAGGGCAATTTAGGTGTTAAACTGTTTAAGATGGGTGATCATTACGCTCTCCATCATCAGCGCTGCTTCAGCTGCTCTAGACGCGCTGCAGACAGCGTGCACGTTCATGTGTTTTGAAGGCATGGTTTCGAGGGGCGGTTCAAAAATAAAGCTTGCTGGAACCGTTTTTTTCAAGATCTCCAACAGCACCTTAACGAACCCGTTGATAGGTTCAATACAAATAATGTATATATATAAAAAAAAGATGTATTAATTAAGTTTAACTAACATACGTGTCGTTTTAAAGGGATGAGTTTATGACACCCGTGATCTCCATTTTGTTTACCTGCGTTCTGTGTCCTGGCATAAATTAGACCATCGTCTCCAACAGCAGAAATGCTGACGAGGATGTGACCTGGACGCGGCAGCTCCGGAGGGTGATACACTGAGGTCTTCACCTGCAGACGCAACCACACACACAATACAACCCTAATTATTACACTTCTGATCACCTGCGGCTCTGCTGTTTATTATTCCTCGCTTTTACAGGTAATTAAGAGTTAGAAATATCCACAAATGTCTGTTAAAAACAACGATTTAATGGAAGCAATAATCAAAGGTGGTAATTTCAATATAGAAAACGTAATAAACCTCCATTATTGTATATATGGAGCAGCAATGTGTGTTTCCTTCTGAGTGATCACCTTTTCTGTGGATATATTGAAGCTTTGGAGCAGCTTTGCAGGACTGAAGGGGATAAATGAAGAAAGATGGGAACCAGATGGAGGAGGAGAGTTGTTTTCTTCCTTTTTCTCAGTTTTTGGGTCACTGGCTGGAGTTCTGGCATCAGTTTCTTTTGGTTTTTCCTGCACTGCAACCCTGCAAAAAAAAAAAAATCCAGGAGTACATTCAAACTCTGCGACCAGCGTAGTCTTTCTTAAAAGAATAGTACACCCAAAACATGATTAGCCTTCATTTTCTACTCACCCTCAT